CACTGTAGACACTAATTAGAAGAACACAGACTAAAACAGCAATGTGCAGACGAATCAGATGATTAAACATGATCTTAAAATATATTTTATATTTTTTTTTTGCATTTTTTTGTAATCATTATTTTTAATACTTTCTGCTGACACTAGGTGGCGCTGTGCCCCACCTGCCCCTAATGACCAGTCGCCACTGCGTGTCGGCGATACAGCGAGAACAAGCGAAACTCATCCTGAGCACACACAAACACTCACAGCCGAAGTAAAAACAATAAGTGTGGCTTGATATTGATTAAGAAAAAGGTTTATAACGCTGTGAGCGAGAGCATTTCTCCGCGATCCCAACTTAGCAGCCAAAAAAACGTTTACCCATGTAAACAGTCGTGGTAGATACCTTGTTTGTTTTAAACATCATAAATACACAAACAACAATGAATACTTACAGGTTGTGTACCCGAATCTCCCACTGGTCCAAACAAAGTAGGAATGGCATCGTTCTTCAGTGCCCTACACTGAACATATCCAGCATGAATCGCTGAAAGGTTTGGGAAGCTTTGTTTTTCGTGAAAGGCTGGCAGAGGGTGTGGCCTCTGGGTATCCCCACGTAGGAGTACCCAGGAAGTAAACAATGGAAAATGAGAAATCTCCAACGAGGCGTTTTGGGGAGGCGTTTTGGGGAGGTATTTTCTGTGTTAGAGTTTTACTCGCTACAGGGTGTACTTTGAGGGTTTTTGACTCTGCACACCGTTTACATGCAGAAAAAGCTACATAACACACAAGGGGACGGGTAATAACCGGAAAAGCATGACATGGGACCTTTAAAGCATGGAAACAGTAGAGGCACAACATACTAATATGAACCTGAAAATTAGCCAAATCTGTCCTCTTTTAAAATCCTGACCAAGATAGTCAGCATCACAGTCACAGACAACAGATTGAAACCAAGGACATAAATATGAACATTTATTGCATAAAAAATGCATTTCTTATGTATTTGTTCTTAGCACAATGAAGGTCAGAATCAGAACTCTTGTATTTGTCTGGTAAGGGTGAACTTGACGTCTCTCAGCAGTAGGCTACGTTTCGGATAAAAGGAAAAAGAGTAGACTTGCATAATAAATAAAGAGTCCAGCAAACATTAGTAAGAACATAAACAAATAATTACAAAGAAATAAGCACAACAAGAAGTAGCATTATTTTAAAGAAATAATGCTACTTTAGAGAAAACTTTTTCCAGGCGGTAACTCCGATAAATTAACCAGCAGTAGCTGCAGGCTGCGCACCAATTTGAAACATTTCTACTGAATCCATTCCCCCAGAGCTGTCATTACCCAGCCTCATGGCTCTTTATTTCACTGATACCCATCACCCACCACCCTTTAAGTAAATACACGATTCTGTTTACTTGAGAGATGTTATCTCAAATTCTAGATGTACGTGCAGTTATAGAAACAGGACAGCTGAAGCTTGGGTTACAGAATAAGCCATTCACCAGGATTTACATATTTAGGAATTTTGTTATTCAAGCAGCTGGCACTAGTGGAAAAGCAGAGAGGTTGTACACTGTTGACATTCAATTAGTTTCCATTTCTCACAGGAGAGAATCGCTTGTCTGTTTTGAGTGGACTCTTTCAGACGAGAAGAAGTGGAGCTAAAGAAGAGTCTGTGATTTCCTCCCCCCCACAAGTACTCTTGAAGTACCCTCGAGCAAAGTACTTCACTGCCAACAGCTCCGGTGGGGAAAGCAGAGTTTGGCCTAAAATGGGCATTCTTATAATCAGCCATTTGTCTGAGGATACAGCGAAGAGAGATCCACTGTTATTTAAAATACTTTTATTTCACGGCTTAGTTGAACACTTGATTCTGATTGGTCAATTTAGACATTCCAGAGGTCTGCTATTTTACGCTAGCAGACCGTTGACAAGGAGGATCATGGGAATATGTGCAGTCATATCACTCCGCAGAAAGAAGTCCGGTCAATTCAACGTCAGGTGTGGACAACGAACATAAGTCTTCATCCGTCAGAAAACGCTGTGGAATACTTTTTGAATATTGTATTTTTATCTTGTGGAGAGCAATAATCTTTGGATTCATGAGAGCTGGACATCAGAGAAATCAACAGAAGAAGACCCGTTGGCAGCAGTGAGTTTCATGGACATGAATTCATAGATCAAGGCAGACTGGTGCACAGGGTCGGCTCCAGAACAAATCGAATGGGGGGGCAATCATTTACCACGGGGGGGCGCACACCTGCTGTAAAGTCTCTTGTCGCTCACACACACAGCACTTTACGCTTCATTAAGCCAAGTCTCTCTCTCTCTCTCACACACACACACACACACACACACACACACACACACACACACACACACACACACACACACACACACACACACACACACACACACACTAGAAA